TCAAAAAATTAAGAGTTTTTAAAATTACAAAACTGCAGAATTCTATGCCCTCAAAATTTTTCATAAAATAATAACCATTATAACTTCCATTTGTAATACTATTCCTTTATTGGGGTGATATGTACTAAGGTTTCCAAATTCTCATACTACCAACAAAAGGTGATTCATACCCAAGTAAAGAAAGCATGCATAAGTGTAATGATCGATTGACTTGCATGCAGTACTTGAAATTCTCGCATACAATAAATTTGATTCCAAAGCAAGTTATAATGACATTTTTAATTTCTGTAGGTGAATTCAAGATTATAGCTGAAAATTATCTCCAAAGATGTAAGTTACAGAAATTTTTAATGGTGATTTATCAAGTATAATAAAAGATTGTACGACATGGCTGTTTTTTAAGTCATATGTAAAGGAATATGCAAGTTTGCTACTTTATGAAAATGGCTCCACTGTTCTTGAATTCAGGGCTGATCAAAATGATTATGTAAAATACAGATATGAAATGGAGGTTAGCTATTGACTTTGCTCACACATGCAGTTTATACAATGTATATGTAGTCTTGTGTTGGTGTATATCTCAGAGTCGAAATGGATCATGCAAGAGCAAATTGGCCAACTGACATTAATCCTGAATGCTGCTTTACATTGATAAACCAACGTGAAGACAAAATTTTGTACCTTATTGCTGAAAATTCAAAAATCGCACAGTACGTATAAAAAATAAAGATATTAAGTATTTTTTCATTTTTTATTATAGGAACTGGACTTGGAAATTGTCACAGTACATAAAAGTAAGTTCTATTTGTGATAAAATATGAGTAATTTGACTTTGCAGGTCCCTCAAAATGCCAGAAAACCATTTAGCGAAGAATTTAGTATGAATTAGCTCTCTTTAATTTTTATTTCATTTGCATATATTATAGGTGTCAACAACTTAATTGATGTGTATAACCTTCTAATTGCTGAGCCATCACTCCTTTCATCTGAACCATCATCTTGGAAATTTTTAGGTAGAAACCTAGGACTTGCTGATAGCACACTGCAGAAAATTGAAGACTTCTATGACACTAAAGAAGATCGCCTCTATAATTGTTTATCAAAGTGGATAAGAAGATGTGATCAAGTTGATGAGAAAGGAGGGCCAACCTGTTATAAGCTTGTAGATGCACTAAGAAAAATAAACAATGAAGAGATTGCAGAAAGAGTTTTTGCAAAATTTAATAATAAAAGTAAGTATTTGTAGTATTATGAGTTCTTATTATAAATGATACAATGGTCAACAACTCAATAAGAAATAAGGAGAAAGAGAGCAGGAGAATAGTACAATAATCAATAAGTAATAACAACAGAAAGAGCTTATATACACAGAGCTTAATTACATTCCAGTTACTATGGTGATTATAAAACACTTACTAATAATGTAAACACACATCATGAATAACATTAACATGGTCTATTAATAATATTACATGTACTGACACATACATTCTATAATAATAATAATCACACATTATATTACAGTATTAGCACTTCATTATACTGCATAAAATTAATTGCCATCATCTTAATTGTTTTTGCAGTCAATGACCCTGTACTATAGTACTCGGTCTTTGACTTGATTTTTGAGCAACTTTAGAAATTCTTAAATCCAATTTTAGTTAGAATACTTCAAACTTCTACACTAGACATAAGTACATGTATGTGTATCAGAAAATTTTATAAAAATGGATAATTCTCTTCTAGTATTTAGCAAAATTTGGTCAACCTGTACTATTTACTCTTGGTACTATCTATTGACCTCATTTTTGAGCAACTTCAAAATTTTGTAAAAAATCAATTTTGGTCGGAATGAGCTCAAACTTTCTACACAACATAAGTACATGTATATGTATCAGAGAATGTAATAAAAGTAGAGAATCATAAAAATTTAATGCTTTACTTAATAGTAATTAAAGCAGTATTAATATCATTCTTTAGATGGCGAAGAAAAAGGCACATCGATTAAAGAAGGTATAATTAATTTTCTGCATGCATATTATAGCAGTAAAATTTAAATCTGTTATCATTAATATTTTAGATGGTGAAGAAGGGAAAAACTTGCTGACAGAGAAAGGTAATTGAAGTAATGAATTGTACTGCTTTATTGACTGAAACAGGTTCTGTAGAGCCACAGGGTGAGTCTGGTGATGCATGTCTTCCGGCACCAGGTCTAGAGGACACTGCCGTACATCCAAGTCAGTTGGAGGTTGTTAATGATATGTATTATTTTTATGAACTTCTAGAGCCAAAAAGTCAACAATTGCTTGAAGAAACAGAAGAAAGCTTTAAAGGTCAGTTTCTGTAGTTGTTGCTATGTATTCATAGTATAATTTTAGATGAAGAGAGACAAGAAATCAGGCAGAGCCAAACAGAAGATGAGGTTAGCATCATTAGCATGCATATAAAATACTGATTAAAATTGAAACACATGAAAATTAGTGTATGCATAGCTTAAAACAAAATGAGCATTTTGCCCTTCAGTTTACATTGAAAACATGATTCTGTTCACTTTTTAATTCATATGTTGGCACCCTTTCTTTCCTTATAATTTATTATTATATTATTAACTAATACTGTATGTAGTTATCACTGAGTCTATTGAAAAAAATGTTTTTGCATTTATGCATTTATAAACTAGAGGAAAAGGACTTGGACTCTTGCTGGACATGGGGATAAAACATATGAGCAAGCCCTTGCCAACTGTCAAAAAGATAGCAAATTAAGGATGCTGATGGAAGCTGTTACTTATAAGATGCAGAATTCAAAAATGAGCTTTCTCGCAGAAATTAAATTTCTTTCCAACACAAAGATGTCTAGTCTTGTCACCATTAATAATGAAACGCCACACACAATGATGTATCATCAGTGCTTTATTGCCAGAGGACGGATATCAGGCTATCCCGGATTTAATGAAAGCATTGCTGCTAACAGCCATAAAAGCTATTCGTTTGAAAAATATTCATCTTTGTCATTAGATGGCTGTGCTGCTATGATTTTGCTCTCTGCAACCACTTGTGAATCTACTAAATGCTATTTTGCAGTTGCTTTCAGGAATTACCTAAAATTTGCAAGTTTATCCAGGAATAAAGCTGCTCTGCTTATTCTTAATGATGCAGAATCGATTGTCCGAATGTCAGATTCACAATGCTTCAGTAAAATCATGAGGAATAAAGATGAAAGTCCTAACTTTGAAGGATGCTACAAAGGTGACATTTACAAACCATCATTCATGCTAGCATCATTGGATCAATCAGAATGTCATGAGTTTCGAAACATTTGTTTTCGAATTGCAATGATTGATGGCACTCGTAGTCAAATAAGTTTGACTGTGCTACATCCAGAACCTATTGGCTAAAATGTAGTGTAGGTCTAGGTAACTATAATTATATTGTTTTTAATATTTTACTTTTTAAAATTAATATTATTTTTGATAATATTTTGTATGGCCTGTAGCACCTAGCTAATCAGTACTGATGTGTTTGTAATTCTTACAATAATAATCATTTTAATTAAAATTCTAAAAATTATTTGCGTGGGTGGAAGGTGGCACATAAAGAAGCATAGCTGTAGACTAGTCAACTGTAGACTACTATACCATAGAAAGCTAACAATGGCAGCAAACCCTTCTTCCTTTGAAAACATTTGCACTAAAGAACTAAGTGAGTTAGTGACTATATCTATAAATATATATCTAGTAGATATATAAAGTTTAAATAGAAATAAATTAATTTTTAGGTATTCATGAATATCATTCAGTTTATGATAGAGTGAAGTCTATTTCTGCTAGCTGGAAATCATTTGCAATTTCATTACGCCTGCGAATAACTGACATTAATATTATAGAAGCTAGCTCTCATGAAAATGCAATTTCTTGTCTGCAGAAAGTTATTGAGTATTGGCTAAAGAAAGATTATGATTATGAGCACTATGGTATTCCGTGCTGGAAAATGCTGTGTGTGGCTGTTAAAGAAGGAGGAGGTAACCCAGCATTAGCTGATGAATAGCCCTTGACATCCTCTATCAGCCA